AGAGAGCATTTCCAAAAATGGAAAGAGGTGAGAGGGAGTGGCAATGTGTTTGGTTCAGTATATGAGCAATATCTTTGCAAACTAAAAAGAAGAGAGGTTCTTATTTTATATTCTACTTTGTCAATATTGGTAGTTTGAGTTCCTAATTCGAATGAAACTACAGACTTTGTATGTATTTTGACATCACAAACATCTAATTTGAACTAGTGCTGCATTCAGCATATCAGACAAAAATCAATGTTTAACTGTTTTTATAATATTTACTTTTACGTTAAGAAATTAACTAACATATAATAATAAGATTTGAATTATAATCTACAATTTGACACCAAACTTATTGACAAACTCATAAAATAGTAGTTCAATAAAATTTTGAATGTGAGTCAACAAACGCAACGCGATGACATGGCCTTTCACTCGTGAAAGGGTTAATAGACAGAATGCCATTCTAGACTCATATACTCCATTTTAACTACTTCTGTAGAGAGTAAAGAGGTTTAACATTTTTAAAAGCCAGTTCATGCTATAAATAAACAGGAAATATTAATTCCATGTGGATGAACTAATATGATGCTTGATAATATTAATGAGCTTAATCAGAAGTCACATTTTTAAATCAACAAACACAATGACATGGCCTTTGACACGTGACCTGTCGCGATAAAATTAAGGCGTGATGCTTCATTTAGAAGCATATATGGCGGCTTTCATGAATGAAAATTATCTGTCACATTTCATCATAGACAAATTGGAAAGTTATTTTAAAAAGTTAAGCTCCTAAACCAATAATGGATACCCTGAAGTTGAATAAGCTGAAAGTAACCTATCTTACACCATACTTAAGTCTCTGTATACAGACTTGATCATTTTGACCAACCTTGTAACTACCAAGTAACCATAAAACTATTACCACAACTCTGAATTTACCAAGTGTATCTTCACAAAAAATTGACCAACTTTTAGTAAGCATTACAAATCTGTGTATCTTCACAGAAGTTTGCCAGATTTTAGTAAGCATCACAAGTGTTGTACACAAAAATTCAATTTCACAAAATATTTTTACTAAATTTTTGTCCAAATATATGAAGCCTTTAGTGAGTCAATTTGAAGTAAGGTGATTTTTATGTTAAGAAAGAAAAAACTTTATCATTCATTTGTATAACTTCTAGAACCTCCCAAATGGGTATCCATGTTTATGTTCTGTTATTTTCTCTACCCTTTAATATGTTGTCTGAGAAGCTAATAGCTACAACTTTTGCAATAATCATGGATGAAACTACTGATACAACCACAGCTAAACAGCTTGTAATTTATTGCAACAATGATTTTTAAATTAAAGTTGATGTTGATCAAATCAATTAGTAGTTTTATTTAATAAGCAATATCATCACTTAAAAAACCAAATGTTACTCTGAGAAAGTGGGTTGAATTTTGTAGCAATACAACAAATTCTATAATGGCACTAAATCAGTTTAATCTATGATAACATAAAATTCTATGGATCTGAATTATTGTCAAATACAATACATCTAGATTCTTCAAATGGCTCCAAAATAGCTCTCCAAACAACTTGAGACCTTTATATAACTTTTGTTTGAGTGCATAAGGAGCAAGAGTATTTAAAGAAATTTCAGTCACTTTCAGAATTTAAAATGCTTCAGATTCTGGCATTTGGTCATACATTAGATGGTTGTCTGTGAAGCAATGTGAGAATAGCCTGCTTGAGCAGTGGGTTGCATTTTAACTTATTATATTCCATGTCATTCATCTTTAAAGTTCAAAAACATACCAACACTTGTTTTTAAGTATGCCAATACTATGGACCCAATGAAGTGAGAATGCTCAAAATTTACAGCCAAGAAGGTTACACAACCTTTTAACAGAGCAGTTGGCGAGACTTATAAAGGATGGAGAGCTTCAGTTACTTGAATATCAAAAAACATAAACATTGATGTTTGGCATGGTAGAAGTCATCTTCAGCTAAGATTGTTTTATTTTTCTAACAGGGTGGTTTGCTTTTGGAATGGGTTGCCTTTAGATGTTGTAGAGGCAGTAAATTTAAGTGAGTTTGAGAAAGCTTAATAAATATATGAATGATAAGGCCTGGCTTTAAGATTTTTTAACAGTATCAGTTTAGTGTAAATTTAAATGATGGAACAGCCAAGATGGATCACTTGGTCCCTTGTTGTCCCTAAACATTATGTTATGTTTCGCTTCTTTATAATTATCAATGATTAAAAAAATTTAAACTGAAAGATGTACTCTTTCAGTAACTCTCCTAGTACTAGTAAAGTACATCAACCCCACACATCTATTGATCTAGTTTTATATGGTCGACCCATTGCAAAACAAAATTATTTTAGTATTTCAAGAAATACTGCTATAATAGTATAAATTCAACAAAACACATCCTTAACACAAATCGAAGGCAAAACGATTAGTATTAGTGTTTAACTTACGTAGTTAGGCTTAACAGTAAAAACCGCCAAAAGTGGCTATAACTTAAATAATAAACTTTGAATATCAATAAAACGAAAGGATACAATAGGTTGAACCATAACTTTCTGTATCTTCTGTCCTCCTCCTCCTTTGTACGACATTTTAATCTGAATTAAATGTTTACTCTATATGTCTAAAAACAAAATCGTAAAGACTTTCGTTGCATCTACTAAAAGTAAAACAATGATATCAAAAGGATGGTATTAGCTCTAACGTCCTCTATCGGTTTCAGATACAATGAAAATACATTTTGATAAGTGAAAAAAAGGGAGGTTCATTCATCGAAAGTGCTCGTGAGTTTAAGGGAGGGGAAATCGTTAAATGTCTAAATTATCAGAACTGGATTTGAGTTTCGTTGTTTTTTTGTTTTTTTTAAGTAGATGGGATAGCATCAATGGATTTTGATGCATGTTGTACGTCTTATAAGACATTTTGCAGGTATTATATTTACAGGAAGAACTTGTGTGCAGAGTCACTGTGCTATTACATTTTCTAAAATAAATTAAATAACCAGCAGTGAATGCTAAAATGGACTTCCCAATATTCAATATTACGTGCATTATCAACAGAAATTAAGTTCGGAAACGAATAACAGTTCTTATTTAATAACGAACTTTAAAGAAAATAGTAATCCGTACCCATTTTCGTATTTGATATAAGGGGTGCTTCGTAAAATACGCGTTCTGAATTATCAAGACAGAATCCCTTAACGTTCAGGCATAGCTATCTCTAGTTTAGATGTGCTGACCAAATAGACTGATCGTGAACCCATAGATTTGCGATTTACGTCCCGTTATCACAAAAACACCTTTTGCTTTGGGTTTTGTGTGCGCTGTAATAGTGATTGTTAAGTACCACTATTTGGTTAGATAACAGTAACTCAAAACTTGGCGGTGAGTGTTGTTGATTAGCTGGCTTTTCTTCAACCTCTATCAATACAAAATTAGGAATGGCTTTGCGTAGGTATGTGATATATAAGAATAGTAAGTTGCTGTTGTTTTTTCTACCTCTTTGTATTGATATGGGAAATGTTTCAAAATTTGTTATTTGTGCAGTGTTTGTTTTTGAATTTTGCGCAAAGCTACACGAGGGCTATTTGAGCTAGCCGTCCCTAATTTAGCAGTGTAAGACTAGAGGGAAGGCAGCTAGTCATCACCACCCACCGCCAACTCTTGGGCTACTCTTTTACCAACGAATAGTGGGATTGACCGTCACATTATAACGTCCCCA